TTCTGTATTAGAGAAATGCTATAAACTTTGCTAATAAGGTTATCATTGACAAAAAAACCAAACTGTCAGCGTTACACTTTTTATAGTTCTAGAAATGCTACTATAGCAAAACCCACCTCTGGGTTAGCCAGCTCTGTGTCTTCAAAAAGCATTAGTAAACAGAACCTTAGCCATTAGTCTTTGGCTACTCTCTCTCTTTGTCCCATTCCTTTGCTGATGGCCTTGGGCAAAAGACAATACTTTAAAGAGAGAAGCCTTGTGCCTTTTCTTGAGACTTACATGTGGCCTCTGTATTTTTTTTTTCCATTTTAGATAAAGGGATTGGAGATTCTGATCTTGCAAGTTTTGAAAGGTTAGGAAAACCCTCAATATTCTGGTATCCCAGCAACTGGGTTTGCAGTCAGCCCTATGGAGCAAGGGTGACCTTTGGGAGTGACTTTTAGGACTCATCTCAGCAGAAGCTTAGATGAGGACTCATCTGGCAGTCATACTGCATCTGGATGTGAACTTGATGGGACCAATGTTATACGGGAACTGTGCTAAGTTTGAATCCATCCTTCCTAGAGACTGAAGTGGGATGGGGAGAATATTCTCCCAAGGTATTAATGGGAAATGTTTATACTTTTGTTCTTGTTGTATATTTGAAGCAATATTCCTCTATAAGGGCAAGTCACTTAACCCTATTTGCCTCAGTTTTTTTTATCTGTAAAATCGGCTGGAGAAGGAAATGGTAAACTACTCCAGTTCTTTAGCAAGAAAACCTCAAATAGGGTCACAAAGAGTCAGTCACAACTAATCAACTAAACAGCAACAATTTGTTTGTAAAAGTTAATCATTGTTAAGTGGCTAAAGTGAACTAGGGTACTAGTCAAGGGAACCAAATAGTGGGGTGCTAGGGTGTGATATAGGCTCAAGTGATGGAATTAAAGTCAATCCAAAGCCCTTCAAGTAGAGTGAGCCAGAATATACACAAATACTAAAAAATATAGAAAATATTTGGCAGTGCTCTTGCAAAAATATACTCAAGACCTACAAGAATACAAGTGTAACTACTTTGTAGTAATAAAGACAAATAATCATAGAAATATCAATTATGCTCAGAAATAATGTCCTGGGGAATTGTGAAGGAAAAAATGCTAGTCTCCTCACAAGCAAAATCACTTAGCGGAATATGGGCATCAAGAACATTTGTAATATGAACAAGAACATATGTTATACAAGAACTTTTGGTTTATGTATTGCAAAGAAACAAAACTGGCCAAACGAAATGAACATGGAAGGAACATTCAAAGTCTTTTGAAGAAGTAGATAAAATTTAGTTTAATTTCAATGGACATTTATTAAGCACCTCCAACTGCTAGGCAGTATAGAATAGAATTGGAAGCAGCTGCGTAGTTCAGTAGATAGAGATCTGGGCTTGGAGACAGGAAGACCTGAAAATTCAAATGCAACCTCAGAAACTTATGTAACCATGGGCAAGTCATAAAACTTCTCAGTTTTCTCAACTGTACAATGGAGATAATAATAGCATCTACCTCCTAGGGTTGTTCTGAAGATTACATAAGACAATATTTGTAAAGTGCCTGGCACATAAGTACTATCTAAATGCTAGCTAACTACTATTATCAACACAATTAGTGTTAGTATAGATTTAGCATATTATTAGTTAACAGCTATTATTTGTTAGTTAATAATTATTATTTGATTATTAGTAATTGTTGTTGTTTAGCTGTTTTTCAGTCATGTCTGATTCCTGGTGATCCCTTTTGGGATTTTCTTGGCAAAGATACTGGAGTGTTTGCCATTTCCTTTGCCAGCTAATTTATTTTATAGCTGAGGAAATTGAGGCAAACAGGGTTAAGTGACCTATCCAGGGTCACATAGCTAGTAAGTGTTTGAGGCCAGATTTGAAGTCAGGTATTCCTGACTCCAGGCCTGGGGCTCTATTTACTATTAGTTAGGATGCAGTTAGGTGACTCCATGGGCACTGGAGAAGGAAATAGCAAACTGCTCTAGTATCTTTGCCAAGAAAACCTCATAAGCAGTATTGGCATGTTATGGTCTGTGGGATCATGAAGAGTGGGACACAACTTAACAATTGAATAACCACAAGTTATTAGTTAGAAAATTAATACAGAACTGGCATTGGAGCCAGGGAAACCTGTATTCAAGTTCTGCTTCTGATATATATTAGCTATTACCCTGGACAAGTCATTTAACTTCTTGGTGCCACATCAACTCTCTAAGACTGTGAGTTGCAGAAAAGGCACTGACTTGCTGTGGTAGAGGAAGTTTCCAAATTAAGAAATTCCCCATGCCAAGGCAATCAAAGGTCTATTCCCTACCTTTATCCCTAGTACCAAACATTGGGGATACAAAACTGAAAATTTTACATTTTGTAGAAAGGTATAACAATATGCACAGATAAGTAAATATTAAATAATTTGAGGAGTAAGAGACAGCAATAAAAAATAGAATTATTATGAAAGGCTTTGTAAAAGATGTAGAGCCTGAATGGAGCCTTGAAGGAAGTTTAGGATTCCAGAGGCAGAGGTGAGGAGGAAGTACGTTGCAAGCATGAGGAGCACATAAGGAACTAGTATGTCAGTTTGTTTGGAATAGATAGTAAAGTGGAATCAATCTAGAAAGATCGGCTGGGAGCAGTTTGAGAAGGATCCTAAATGACAGGCATTTGTATTTTATCCTAAAGTCAATAAGGGAACCACTAAAGATTTTTCAGCATATTAGTGATACAGTCAGAGCTAAGTTGTAGGAAGATGATTTTGGTACCTGTGCCAAATATGGGTTGGAGAGTGGAGAGTCTGGAAACATGGGAGAGATGAAGGCCTGAACTAGGATGGTTGTAGTGTGAGTTGTGAACAAGGAACAGATACGAGAGATGTTGAGATAGGCTGATGGATCGGGAATAAGGGAGAGAGAAGAGTCAAGGATGACTTCAAGGGTGAAAAATTAGGTGACTGGAAGGACGGTGATGCTCATTTGAAATAGGGAGATTTGAAGGAGAGATGTTTTTTTCCGCCAAAGAACTTTGAGATGCTTTTAAAACATGCAGGTGGAGATATCCAGTAAGAAACTGGAAACTTGGAACTAACATTCAGGAAAGAGATTAGTGGTAGACATAAAGATTTAAGTCATCTAAATGGAAATGATGATTGACCTTATGTTAGTCAATGAGACCACAAAGAAAAACAACCTGAGGACTGAGCCTGAAGAAACACTTGTGACTAGAAGGCTCAAACTGGATGATGATTCAGCTGGACAGATAGATAGCCAGGAAAGGTCAGTGTCCAGAGAGCAGAGGAGTACAGTATATCCATAGTGTTCTTAAATTGCACGCAGGTCAAGTGTATGAATATTGATAAAAATCCACCAGATTTTTAGCAGTTGAGAAAGATGTTTAGTTATTACTGCAACAATAGAACTCCCTAAGGCTAAGATTTGGTTATTCATAGGCCCAAATGTTTTTATCTTATATTCCTGAGCTCCTTCACAATCCATTCACTTTCAGTACATTCCTTTGAGATATGCCCCAATTTATGCCTTGCCTACAGAAGTAGCCCCGAGGAAAATCAAAAGCACAGAACAAAAGAGGCATCTATCTATCTATCTATCTATCTATCTATCTATCTATCTATCTATCTATCTATCTATCTATCTATCCATCCATCTATCCACACCCACACCCCCACATACACATATATCTATATTAAACATATATGTTAAAAAAGTACCACATAAAATTAAACTTAGGTCCCCTAGGTCAGAACGATGAAATTTCCCTAATTAAAAATAAAATCTTATTAGAGAGTCAAAACGATACTCTCTCTTTGTTGTCATAGTGACATAATAAGGCTGCAGTGCTTTGTATGAATGAGTTATCCCTATGACTGCAGCAGCCTTAACTAGGCTGTTCAAAGAAAAGGTAGGAGCCCTTGGTCAGGAGCAAAACTGCATCATCCGCTTCCGGAGCATCAAGCGGGTGGGGCTGGGCTTGCTTTCACATCGCTGCACTGGCTCGGTCGGCCTGGGAGAGTACCGCCCACCTCTAACAGAGGGAGCCCACTAAGCTTCTCACTCTCTCCCTCACCCCTCCCAGGCGGACTCGGAATCACGAGCTCAGTATCCTGCAGGGGAAAATCGCGAAACAAAGCAGCCTAAAACCAGGATGTCAGACCCGTGGGGGGCAGGAGCGAAGGAAAGATGCATTCTCACTGCGCTGCGCTTTTCTTTCTAAAAGCTCTCCTCCCCCAATGAAAGCATCCTCGAAGAGAAGGGACTGCCTAAAAGGTAGCAACCCTCTCTCTTCTAGATAGGATCGAGTCTATGACAGATCGCAAGCTTGCAATCAGAGAGAAAGAACGGCATTCTGCTTTGCTGCTGCAGGCAGGAGCTCAGTAATCTTGTTCTGTACCCCCTCCATTCCTTTCTCCTCCCCTATCTCAAATCCTCCCTCCGCCCCACACCCTAACCCCGGCAGCCCAGGAAGCTCAGGCCCAGAGGACGTAGGCTGCTCACCCAAGGCTCTTGGCCCAAAGTGGTCTGCACTCTTGCTGCAATATTCTCTCACCTCCTCTTAGTCAATGACACCATTACCGCCCCACTCCCTCAATTTTTTTTTTTTTTGGTAGTCAATCCCAAGCATATCTCGTAAGACCGCCAGGAAAGACTGTTTGTTCAAATGCTGGGACTGCATTAGGAAGGGGAGGAAGAACGTAGGCTTAGACCTAGACGCAGCAGCAGCTTATACTAGGCCCATGCCCAATGGAGTGAGAATGGGAGATGGTTTTACTTCAGCCGTAATTCATACACTTAAAAGGCGAGCAGCAGACACTCTTAACTGCTTTCGCCCAGCCCTGCAATACAACAGCTGGAGCCAAGTCCGCGGTTTTCTTCCCTCCCCATTTTAGAAGCACTGGTTAGAAATATCAAGTTCTGAGTCTAGAGAAGACTACAGGGAGAAAGTACTGTTTGCTACCTACCCCAGCTGTTTCTGTCCCTGCGACTCTTGGCCATAGCGATACACCTAGTAGTGATGCTGCTGCTGCTGCTGCCGCTGCTGGTCTCCTTTCTAGCAACTGTGGCTGTGCCCTGGGCTGCAGGTTGGAGCTTTGGGAGGCCCCGTTGGCTGGGTGCAGTTCTCTGCGTCTGAAGATGTTGCAACGCACTAGCAGGGAGGGGTTGAGAGGAAATGGGAGGAGATGGAAAGGGATGGAAATGGAGCTCGGCATCCCTAACTGGAGTTCTCACAAACACCAGTGTGAGGCTCTCCTATGCCAATTCACACCAAATGAGTGGACTTATTAGAGTGGAGTTATTAGAAGATGTGCTTGAGTATTATCAGTGAAACACACAAGTACACAACACACCCAAGTGTGATTTCCGCTATCCATGTCACACTGCTTGAGCAAAGACCACGCAGAACTGGCACTCTTCACAGACTCACACAATGCCAATAAAACCCATTATACTGGATGCTCAAAGAAATACAAATATCACAAGTACCCAAATATACAAAACTAAGCAGCGTGCTCACAGAGTCCAAATATTGTAAGCTTATCCTTGAAGCTAAATTCTTTTCTTTCTAATCCTTTCCTTCTTCCTCAGTTTACACTCACATGTGCTTGTCTTGCCTAAGAAACTGGATTGTATTTAAAGAGGACAAGGATAAAAGGAAGTTTGAAAAGCACATTACATCCGTATTAATTCAACATTTAACAACTAAAAATGCTGTAAAAATCCCTTTTTAGATTTGCAGTGGCCTTCTTTGAAATAAAAGAATGCTACAGAGTATTAGTAGCTTGTCAAGACAAAGGCTGGAATAGATAAAATTATTAAAAAAAACCTAACCTCCACAAAAGATCAGTGAAAAGGGAAATTTTTTAAAAGCAAGTCAGTTTGGAGAGGTTGACTGAATATGAGTAAATTATCTCCTTGGAATAAAATAATATTGGCCTGAGAAGAAACTGAAACTCCAATTTTGTCTGAGAGATGCGCATACCACCTTTTGTCTATTGAAGTGAAAGTTATTTTTTCCCTCTAGGATGACTGAATTCATTAATGGATGGTGAAAATAGGTAGGAAGATAAGGAAAATACAAAAATTGCTTATTCATCCCAGAATTTACAAAATCTATATGCTTTGAGGATGTAAACTTGAGAAATAAGCTATAATCTCTTTCTTTATAAGGTTTTTTTTTAGCTCATGTTCCAGCCTGGTCTTGTTATAGCAATTACAATTTAAAAAATATAAAGGCTTGAAAACAAACATAGGTAATGAAAGCAGCACTGTTAAGGTTTCAAATTCAGGAAATACTTGATGGCTATCTTAATGTTAATGTTAAATAATAATGTTAAATAAATCAAAGTTTTAAATTAACTTGTATGAAGCATTTGCCTTTGAAGATATGTCACGATTATACGCATTTTACTATTCAGATACAAGTCAATTGTTTCTTACTCTATTCGGAATAGGAATGTGGCATCATTCCTATTTTCTAAAATGGCTGAATTTAGGATATAGCATGCAGGGCATCATAAGGAAAAGCACCTCTTAAATGTTAATAAATGCCTCATTCTTGTAGCTTTTTATGTAACCTTTTGGTTAAATAGCTATTTCCATAATAGTCTCCTCATTGGTGAAGAATGATTTGGTTGTTGCTCCATCACTGCCTGAGGGGTGGAGTTAGTAGAGCTGGAGGCAAGAGAAAACCTGGTGTTCTTCTGTAGATTTTTCTACACACACACACACACACACACACACACACACACACACACACACACACACATTCTGATTTTAGTTTTGTTATCAACTTGTAAAATTGGGTTTATTTACCATTGGCATTTGATGAGAAGGGAGTCAAGCCTTGTATACACACACACACACACACACACACACACACACACACACATATGCATATATATAATATATATACCCCTTGGATTTTGGTTGCCTGGAGAAGTTCATCAGTTTCATGATGGCACGTTTGCATGGGTTCTGGATCAATCATGATGCTATTGTACTTTCCCAGTCACCAATGGAATGAAACAGGACTATGTGCTTGCTCCCACGCTTTTTAGTATGATGTTTTCAGCAATGTTGTCAGATGCCTTCAATGAGTACAAAAAAAGCATCAAGGTCAACTACCAAACTGACAGTAAATTATTCAACTTGAACTTTTTGTTTGTAGGCGATCATGTACTCTATGCAGCTGCTGAGGCTGAGATGCAACAGAATATGGATAGATTCTCTGCTGCTTGTGCTAATTTTGGCCTAATAATAACCACCAGGGAAAGAGAGATTCTGTACCAGCCAGCACTACACTATCCATGTGTGGAACCATGGGTTACAGCAGATGGAGAAATTTTGAATGCTGTGGGTAAGTTCACTTACTTTGGCAGTATACTTTCCAGGGATGTACCCATAGATGATGAGATTGATGCATACATTGCCAGAGTTAGCTCAGTGTTTGGGAGTCTCAGAAGGAAAGTATGAGAAAGAAGTCTTAGACTGCCTACTGAACTGGTCTGCAGAGCTGTCATGCTGACCTCATTGTTGTGTGCCTATGAAACCTGGGCAGTATACCAGCACCAGGCCAGGAAACTGAATTACTTTCCTTTGAATTGTCTTAGGAAGAGCCTGAAGATCACCTGGCAAGATAAGGTGCCAGACACTGAGGTCCTTTCTTGCAATTGCCAAGCATTCACATTCTACTGCAGAGAGCACAAGTCATATGGGCTGTCCACATTGTCTGAATGCCAGAGGTATATTTGCCTAAAAGACTACTTTATGGAGAACTCACACAAAGTAAGTGCTCACATGGAGGTCAGAAGAAGTAATACAAAAACACTTTCAAGGTCTCTCTAAATTAGTCTTTTTCAGGGGGGGGCCTAGGCAATGGAGTTAAGTGACTTGCCCAGGGTCACACAGCTAGTAAGTGTTATGTTTCTGAGGCCGGATTTGAACTCAGGTCCTCCTGACTCCAGGGCCAATGCTCTATCCAACATGCTATCTAGCTGCCCCTTCAAGATCTCTCTGAAGAACTTTGGAATTGATTTGAAAAATGGAGACACTGGCACAGGGCCACCTAGCGTACATCACAGAAGGTGTTGCGGTCTACGAGCAAAGCAGAGTAGCAGTAGCTCAAATGAAATGTGAGATGTGCAGATTTAGAGCCATTTCCACTCTAAATGTGTATCTGACCTGTGGCAGAGCCTTCAAAGCTCATATTGGTTTGATCAGCTCCAGTTAGACATAACTGTACCTTGATCCCAACACAGTAATATCATTTTGGTCCTTTTCAAGGAAAAAGAACAATAGCCAGACCAAATCATATAGCTTAGGACATTCTCTCCCCACTAAGGGACGGAGATTAGGAGTGCAGCTTGAGCCTAAAAATTATTCCCCCTAGAATAACAATATTTAAAGGCCCCTATTGCTGTTTAGTCTTTCAGTTGTGCCTGACTCTTGACCGCAGGGATCATGGCACACTGGGCCCTTCTGTTCTACACTATCTCTCAAAGTCTGTCCAAGTTCACATTCATTGTTCCAATGATATTATCTGTCCATCTCATCCGCTTTTATTTTTAATCTTTCCCAACTTCAGGGTCTTTTCCAAGGTGTTCTGTCTTCTCATGTGACCAAAGTATTTAAGCTTCAGCTTTAGTATTTGACCTTCCAGTGAATAGCTTGAATTAATTTAAAAGAGCAGATAAATATAATTCTAGCTTGGTATCCTCCTTTACTCTGAGGAGAGCAGAGTGGAAAACCTCTAGCCCTAACCTCCTTCTTTCCCTCTGTGAAGAAATCAAAATATTCTTGGAGGAGGAGGGGAAGGAGACTTTAGGCATCTGTTCTTGCTTCTCTGATCTAGCCATATCTAGGCAGACCCATGTGTACATACCTGACCTACATGGCAAAGCAGCATACTCATGTATTTCCTACATTTAAATTGCATTTTTATTATATAAGCACATGTAAATGTATTTTTAGTATATAAAGGGGGTATTGAGGTCGACAATCATTTACCTCACTTAACTTAGAGTAAGTAATACTCTATTAGGTGAGAGCACATTTTAATTGCTCATGAGGTATGAACGAGGCCTCCCTAGATATAACAAGAAGTCCATGAGGATTGACTCAGGGACTTGGGCATACCTTCTAGGGCCTGTATAAAGTCACAGGGCTATTGGAATCAGAGATGTCCTGAGAAAATGCAGAGAGGCAGTGTCTTAGTTGGAATCAAAGATTCAAATGCCATCAGAGAATGGGGAGGAGGAATGTCCTGGTGCTGACTTGGGGGCTCATCTCCACCCCCTTGGCTAGAGGTGGGTCTTAATGTCACTACATTGTTAGTTCAGGTTTGTTATTGGGATGAAATGAGGCATTCATAACTCACAGGAAATTAACAGATGGAGGCTTACTTTGCCCTAAGACAGCGAGAATCTGCAAAAAGGATATGACGCTTTTCTTCCATAGACAGAATCTTCTCTACATAGAAATGTGTTTGAACAGCAGGGGTTTAGTGACTCTTGTGATCTTTAGACATCTACTATATAAAGTGCTCTGGGACTACAGAAGTCCATATGAGTGGAACTTTTAAATGCCCTTAGGTGACCAGTAGGTAAGGTAGGAGCCAGTCCCCAAAATAGCTTTGTTGCCTCTTTCATGGAAAGGGGAGAGAAGGGAAGGGGATGGGGTGAAAACCCCACCGCCATCGTATCACTCTAAGCTGACTTTCCACCATTTAAATGTCTTCAAGGCTTTTCTGGACGGTCTTCCTGGCATAGGAGGGGAAAATAGAAAGGAAAGCAATCATAATGACAACTCTCACTACCTGAGACACCATGAAGAAAGCTAAGGAAAAATGTGTAGGGCAAAAGCTAGTAATCTTAGTTTCTCAACCCCTTCCCTAGTTCCTTCCTTGAGAAAGACTGAGTCTTGGGTCTCAGTGATCTCATTAATGTGGTGAACAATGCCACATCTTCATAGCTCACAGTGTGTCTCCTAATTCGGGGCAGTGACGATGAACCAATTAGCTAATTAGCTGATGAGCTGGAGCAGGACCAAGAATATCAGGAACACAGCAATGATGATGGCATTTCTGACACAGTCAACAATTCTTCATGCATCAGGGTCATCTGTAGTAAAATGGACAACAGGTCATAATCTTCTTGCACACAACCTATCCCATAATCTAAACTGATACTGAGATTCTCCGAATACTGCCAACTTCT